CCCCCAATCCCACATGATTCTGTATGGGTAGTGTGATGTATCCCCCCAGTGCCATATGGTTTTAGAAGGGTGAGTAATGTGTCCCTCCAGTACTACATGGTTCTGCATGGGCAGTGTGATGTGTTCCCCCGCCTCCTGCCCCAGTACTACATGGTTCTGTATGGGCAGTGTGATGTGTCCCCCCTCGCCTCCCGCCCCAGTATTACATGGTTCTGTATGGACAGTGTGATGTGTCCCCCCCCACCCCCTACCTCCCGCCCCAGTACTACATGGTTCTGTATGGGCACTGTGATGTGTCCCCCCACCTCCCGCCCCAGTACTACATGGTTCTGTATGGACAGTGTGATGTGTCCCCCCCACCTCCCGCCCCAGTACTACATGGTTCTGTATGGACAGTGTGATGTGTCCCCCCCACCTCCCGCCCCAGTACTACATGGTTCTGTATGGACAGTGTGATGTATCCCCCCCACCTCCCGCCCCAGTACTACATGGTTCTGTATGGACAGTGTGATGTATCCCCCCCACCTCCCGCCCCAGTACTACATGCTTGTGTATTGACAGTGTGATGTACTCCCTTATACTTATATCCCTCATACTGTTGTGTAGACAGTGTGATGTGCTTTCCACCCCTGTACCCCATGTGTCTGTGTAGGTAGTGTGATGTGTTCCACATTCTTGTGTGTGGGCAGAGCTGTGATCTATCCACTAGTAACCCTGTGCCCTTGTGTGGGCAGTAGTGTGATGCGTCCCCCAGTTTCCCAAACCCCTGTGTGGGCAGTAGTATGATGTGTCCCCCAGTTTCCCACACCCCTGTGTGGGCAGTGTGATGTGTCCTAAGTACCCCATATCCCTGTACTGTGATGGGTCCCTTACCCATGATATTGTGTGGGCAGTAATGTGTCTCCCTGAGAATATCCATACACTCCTGTGTGAGCAGTGAAATTTATCCTCCTATGCATTATGTAAAGGTGTAAAAGTGAAAAGCCTATCAATTACAATGACAGACTGGATTGTACAGAGAATGTGTATTGTGGTTGAATTCATTCAATGAATATATCGTATCATCTTTATATACTGCAAAAAAAAAAAAAAAAATCGGAAGTTATCAAGACTTTTAATCCGTCTGGAAGAAAAAAAGGACAATTCAATAATGTCATGGGAATGATGTTTGTATGTGAACTCCTTCATCAGCTACAAAGTCTGCATGATCAGATAAAAGATATATAAGTACGATACACATACCAAGTAAAGAAACCATTACAAATAAATATGGCTGAAACTAAGATTACCATCAATAAACCTTATCTATTTTTGATTTCTTGATAAATGCTTCTATATAAAAAACAACCTTGTAACAGATTAAGATAAATGGCTGCATTTGATTTGACCTTTAACCTCTTATATAGATTTAGATATAGACTACACACATCGATTACTGTACTCAAGAACTGATTTTACTGAATTATAAGTGGCACCTTTTTTCCTCGTGAGTTGGGCGTGCGGCTTATATACCGGCGTGTGGCTTATATGTGGACGGAAAAAATTGGCAGGATGAAAAAAAAAGGGAAGCGTACCAGTATAACGTAAAAGGTCACTAGACGGCCGTTTTATTATCTGTCATTATTGTGCTGACTGCAACTATACGGCACCTGCCATAAGTTTCTTGCCATTTAAAATCTCTAACATTGTTGAAGTAGAGATGGTACTGATTTCTTTACCCAATACCTGCCCGTCACATGTTTGTGACTGAAACAAGTCCTCGAAAACCGTCATTTGCAATTGTATACTGGATGATATGAAGATTGAAATAAAAGTAACATTCTCATGGGTTTACATAACCATACCTTTTAATAGGAATCACAATAATATCTTATATCGAGTGTTAATTTGATAGGGTGTTTATCAAATGAGGTCAATAATTTAATCTGTCATAGAATTTCGACAGGTGACATATCAAATTTATCGAATAAGTTACAAAAATTCCATATTACGTTGGCAAAAGTTTAAGATTCTGTTGATCATGAAGCCTATATTTCTGAAAAATAAGCAAAAACTCTCCAATTAATTTTCCATAAAAGACAGACTTTGATACATTTCTTACCACTGTAACAATCATGTGTGTTCATCAAGACCTTATTGATGACGTTACAACAGTGTTGTTACACAATTTTTACAATATTCATGACATTACTGTATGACATGACACAACAGCCAGTTGTGTGATAATAGTTTATAAGGATATCATGTAAGTATTTGAATATCAGTTCTTGTCAGCTGGCTGTCATGTACATGTATACAGAAAAACAAACGAGCCTGTACACATAATAGTGTCTAAGTGTAGTCTGGTCTGCTCACTTCATAAATCTTGATGACGCAAAAGGATATACAACCGTATTTTTTTCTTCTTCTATTTGATTTTCTGCTGACATGATATGTATTCTGTAAGTTGATGTTAATCTAACGCTTTGCTGACATGATTTTCTATATGTCTGTTCAACCCTCATACCTCTGGATTGCTCACTATCGGTGCACGTGTAAAGATATTTAAATCACACAAAATAAAATGAATTCAAACCAGAAAAGCCTTTTCATTCTTAGCTTTTTTCTCAATAGATTCAATTAGTATGCTTGATTGTGTGTTGAAAAATATGTCATAATACAAGTAAAAATCAAAGTATCTAGAAAATATCACAACTAGCATTAATGAAATAACTTCACCAAGGCATGCCTCCAATAGTTAGACAATGATAACCTCAGGCAATGCACACCATAATGATGTATGTGGATATCTTGCAATATATTCTAATTCCTCTGATATGTAATATGTTATTTGATTGGTCAAAAGAAATAATGTACAGCTGTATAGCTGCGATATTGCTGCAGAAAAAAAAAATATAGCCCAATTGAGACTGTCAATGACAAATGACGACAATGATTACATCAGACTCATCTAAATATCATACAAAAGATGTCCTTAACATTATATAATTACCATGATTTAAGTAATGAATCCAGGTCAGAGTGACAAAGATATCTTAAAATAAAGCACAAACAATGCATTAGCTTCTTGTTTTTCTTATGTTTAAATTTTATGTGAATCTACATAGGGATTACCTTATAGCTATTGTGTCTTAAAATCTATGGTGGTGTATAGTGATTGTGGTGTTGTAAATATGTAAGTTTTATGTGTGCCTCCAGAGCCTTGTCATTTATAGTGACCATCAATGCCAAAATACAACAGTTCAATGTTTAGATAATATAGCACTGCTGACTACAATGTAACATCAAGTCTTCAGTGGGATGGGTACATTTTATTCTGAAGTGTCTTAAATGCGTAACAGTCAGTGACCTTCACTGAAGTAAAAGTCACCGACATATCTTATATGCTGCAGATGTGTATCATTACACGTGGACCCAAAACATTCTATATATGTAAGTTATGTAATAATAGTCACACCTAGTCTGGTTGTTAAAGTAACCTGCCACCTTACAGTCACATCTAGGCTTGTTGTTTAAATACCCTGCCACCTTACAGTCACATCTAGGCTTGTTGTTTAAATACCCTGCCACCTTACAGTCACATTTAGTCTAATCACATCTATCAGGTTGTTTAAGTAGCCAGTCACCTCAAAGTCACATTTAGTCTAATCACATCTATCAGGTTGTTTAAGTAGCCAGTCACCTCGAAGTCACACCTAGTCTGGTTGTTAAAGTAACCTGCCACCTTACAGTCACATCTAGGCTTGTTGTTTAAATACCCTGCCACCTTACAGTCACATTTAGTCTAATCACATCTATCAGGTTGTTTAAGTAGCCAGTCACCTCAAAGTCACATTTAGTCTAATCACATCTATCAGGTTGTTTAAGTAGCCAGTCACCCCAAAGTCACATTTAGTCTGGTAGTTAAAGTAGCCAGCCACTTCAAAGTCATGTCTAGTCTTGTTAAACCACACAATCTCTTCTAACCTGGTTGTTAAAGTAGCCTGCCACCTCACAGTCACATATAGCCTGGTTGGTTAAATATCATGCCCCCTCAGTCACATCTATTCTGGTTGTTAAAGTAGCCTGCCACCTCACAGTCACATATAGCCTAGTTGGTTAAATATCATGCCCCCTCAGTCACATCTATTCTGGTTGTTAAAGTAGCCTGCCACCTCACAGTCACATATAGCCTGGTTGGTTAAATATCATGCCTCCCTCAGTCACATCTATTCTGGTTGTTAAAGTAGCCTGCCACCTCACAGTCACATATAGCCTGGTTGGTTAAATATCATGCCCCCCTCAGTCACATCTATTCTGGTTGTTAAAGTAGCCTGCCACCTCACAGTCACATATAGCCTGGTTGGTTAAATATCATGCCCTCCTCAGTCACATCTATTCTGGTTGTTAAAGTAGCATGCCACCTCACAGTCACATATAGCCTGGTTGACTAAATATCATGCCCCCCTCAGTCACATCTATTCTGGTTGTTAAAGTAGCCTGCCACCTCACAGTCACATATAGCCTGGTTGACTAAATATCATGCCCTCCTCAGTCACATCTATTCTGGTTGTTAAAGTAGCCTGCCACCTCACAGTCACATATAGCCTGGTTGGTTAAATATCATGCCCCCCTCAGCCACATCTATTCTGGTTGTTAAAGTAGCCTGCCACCTCACAGTCACATATAGCCTGGTTGACTAAATATCATGCCCTCCTCAGTCACATCTATTCTGGTTGTTAAAGTAGCCTGTCACCTCACAGTCACATATAGCCATGACAGCAGTAGGACTAACAGTAAGCCCCTCATTCTAAGAAAGGTCTATAGCACTTGGTTATTTTACTGAAACTGCAATCAGAGACCTATGTCGGCTTGTTGGTCCGAGGTGAATATTTTTTGAGTTTCTTTCTTCAATTGGGAGATTTAAATTCTGTAGTGTTGAAAAAATATGAGGCAGGTGAACATTGACAAATAATTACAACACACAGACAGCAGATGTGTAAGTATGTTGACCGACCCACCTTATACACCCTCCCACACAAGTCGCATGTACAGCCGTTGGCACTGTGTCGCATCATATGTCTCTTGATGATGTACGCATGTTCTGCCATAAACTCACACTCAGTGCAAATACATCTGGGATGATTTTCCTGTTGAAAAAGGAAGAAAAAACCATTGCAGACAAAATATAAACATTGGAGCAATAATTTCAGTAATAAAGCTGTTCTACATACACATGGAGTACACTGTGACCTAAAGTCTCACACAACAAAAACTAGGTCACAAGACAAAAACTAGGTCACTACTGCCAAATGTTAGAAAGATAAAGCATATGGAACTGATCTCTCCAAGCAACAAAGTCAACTAAATGTTTTATAATGTTGCAATGCATCAAACTCTTTGTAATATATACATGATAGTTTTTAAAAATGTGTTACACAAGTTATATTATATAAATCTACATGTTACACAGAAAACAGTGGAAATGAAAACCAAGAAGAAATGCTGCCCATTAAGCTATCAAAATACTAATTACAATGAGCCAGGACGATAATAATGAACCAGGAATGACCAGAAATAAGTTGCTTGAAGAATGATACCTAATTAGTTGACATAGGAACTCTGAAATACAAATACTTGTTTTTTTCTTTCAAGGTCAATTAAAATCTGTTGGAAATGCAATAATGAAGTAATCTTGATGACATGCATCAGTTAACAATTTTCTAAAAAATGATAACAGTGAATTTGATATTGAACTACTTAATCTCCCATGACTGAAAATCCAGAAGTAAATCCCTGTTCATGAATCTATATATAGCATAAGGAATTTATGTAGAGTTTAAAGCTCATTTAACTCTTCGCTTGCTGTGTGATGTGGTTATCTCCCTTCTTCCCAGCCACTTTGGTAAATATGGCTGAAGTTACTATTTTTTTTCCAAATTCAAAGTATTTGTTTTTTCCAAGTTTATATCACGACACAATCAAAGTCATCTCAGCTAATTCTTCTCATTTGAAATAGAGAGACCTAGCTGGAATGTGTAAATCCACTGGCGCCATCTTTGTTAATACTGGAAACGAGGCAGAGGAATTTTAGGTAGTAAGGTAATACTTTTATACACAAAGGAAGGTGAGATTCCTGCCACTTTTGAAGTGGCAGATAAGAAGATCATGGCTCTTGCATGTTTTCCAGTTGACAGCAGTCAGAGCTTAAAAGAAAGGCCGGATATCTAAATAACTGATGTTTTAATAACACTGTCTGTATGCAAGTAACCATTATGGTTCTTCAATGCTGTCCTACAAGGCACTTTTTACTAAAGACTGCTACATATTGGATCTGTTTATTGGAATGAAGTTTACATTTCTCATCTAAAGTTCTAGTATGCATCTTGATTTTAATTCCATCGATTTTTCATAACTTAAATATGCTTTTTTAGACCACCATCTCCTCAAGACTTTTTGTTAGGACTTACAGCTGTAGATTAGGATTGGTCTCCCCAGCCAGGTGATCGGGATACATCTACATGGCAATATACAGGCATACCCAACAGGAAATTGTTAACATACAGTACACATGCTGGTAAGAATGTGAAAATCCACTACAAGTTGTGTTTGTTATCTTCTGCCCATAATCTTTCTGATGAAATTTTTGTAAAGCACTGCAAGAAAACAGTTTTGACATCAAGTCTTACTTGAACGATGACATTAATTTTGCTTTTCGTCTCGATACAAATGTGGTTGTAATTCGTAAGTGACGCATTGTTAAGGAGATGAATTCTTGGTGGGTTTTGTAATTATTGCAGATTTCTGTGTGAAGAAGGAATTCAAAGTAATGAAGAACAAGTGTGTAAAGTCTGGCAATACGGTAAATTACCTAGAATCAGCCATGAAATCTAAAATCTAAAGTCACATGCTGACTAGTACCTGGTAATCAAGTCTGTGAATAAAAAGACAAAACAAATGTTGCTCAACCTGTTTTGATTACAAAACGTTTCTCCATCACATCTGAACTCTAAGTTAATGGTAGAGATGACCAGACATCTGTCGGAATGTTCAGCAGGATTTATTAATAATTTATCAATAAATCCTTCTGAACCTTCTGACAGATGTTATCTGGGCACATCTACTGTTAATTTTGATTCCTGTTTTGGAACTGGATTCTGTATTCCATGAGGAATCCATCTCCTGAAGACTACCTACACTTTTAGAAGATTTGCTGGCAAATGTTCAGGAGGAAGTGGTGGATCTCATTTTCTTTGTATATTTGAACTCTGAAAGGATGGGTAAATCTATTGTTTTTCCATCAGCATACATAAGGTTGTGCACTGTCCATAGCTATGATAGAATCCTATTCCTGTATCTATGACATCATTTCTGCTGATATTTAGGGGCCAACATAAGGCAATAACCCTAAAGCAGAGGCAACATGTACAGGTTATTATAATTCTTCTTCATAATTTGTGTTACAGGTTACCAAGTAAATATATCATACACCTACAAAGGTATAAGTATGAACTAACCATTAGAATGGTTAAAAATTCATAGATGTATGTTACATTTTGAGTTCTCTCAAATGTGGTCAGCATTTACCGTATATGTATGCTTGTCGCGCCTGTCCCAGTTCGAGGCCTGTGTGACAGATATCTACTGTGAAAACGATGGGCATTTTAACCTATAGTTCCGTTCATACACCACATACATGGATGCTGGAGAGAATAACTATATGTCATATAATCACTTTGTGTTTTTGCGAGCATGCAACTGCATATCTTACACATGGCAGAGAGAGATTGAATGGAAGATCAGATTTCAGTGTTACAAGTACCATCAAGTGTCTATAACCACTCCAGACTTAACTGGAGGGGTCTCATTCTGTTTTATACAGCTCTGTTTTAACACAGATCACAATACACTCTCTCACTATTTTCTATTAAAAAAAAAGTATAAAACATTTGTCTAAATATTGTATAAGGATTCTTATTTAAATTTGTTTGAAGAAATCATACAAAAATGTCTAACATATATATGCCATCATTCCTAAGTAAGCAATTCACCACAAATGAATTAGTTTACAATTAACAATTAGTTTAAAGGACAACTTTTAGCAAACATCAAAATTTTTGTATGAGATTGTTAAAAATCCATTCAGAACATAATTTTAAGTTGCTAGAGTGCTAATAAATATAACATAGGAAATTAACAACTGTTACAAGTAAGTGTTTCAAGGGGAAAATTAGTGCCCAAGTTCCTATAAATAGAATAACTACGGCCTTGATGGATGGATGTTCAAGTAAATGCTCAGTATTTTCATACTTCACTTTAGCAGCAATTAAAAGTAAGATCAAAATTTGTAAAAAAAAAGTTTCATAATAACATGTTGATATATAAATCCCATCTCTCATTGACACAAGTTGCCTTCAGACACCACAAGGCTGTCTTTAGACAAGAGCCAGTGATTTCAGATTCTATCATATGTCAACTAGCAGTACAATAATTTTTAATTTATGGTTGTAGAAGTTTCATGAGGAGGAGGATTAATGAACTGCACTTATCTAACACGTCATCTAATTTCTTCTTAATAATTAACTCTGAGTTAACAGCAGTAATTAATTAAGTCTAATAATTACTGCACACTGTCATCTCAATTTTCAAATTAGAGAATAATAACTAATGGTAAAGGGTCGCATATTATGTAGTTTTCTAATTAAAGAATGACGTTATGGGTGACGATACGGCAACCTTTTGGTTAATCATGCTTTTATCACAAAACGTGACATTTCCACATTGCCCAAGGCCAAATTACTCAACATGAAACAAAGCCATAAATATGTTTTACAAACAAAATATATTCTCTTTGTCTAAACATCATAAGTCTCTGTCCAATCTAAGTGTTTGTTTTTTTTCAGATTGCTTATTTCTACTATTTCTCTTACAAGAGATGGTGAAACTTTCTCTATGATGAGTTAGCTCTATGTCACATTTGTCACCAGGTGAGGTCACAATCAAAATGTTGTAAAATCATTTTTCTGACACTTATCCTTAAACTAAGATAAATAACCTTGACAAAAGAATTTTGGAACTAAAAATATTTCATAAATGTGCTTGGTTATTTTAACACATATATGTACAGGAAACAGAATCTGTTACTGGTATTACTTCTTATTAATTTATCTCTAGTCTCTGAAAACAAACAGTACCATCTCATTATCTGTTCTGCCTCAAATAAGATTTTCTTACGGAGCGTAAGCTTCTTGACTGAAAATGAATTATATTTAACACATAGAGGTAATAGATTCCAGTAATAAGTCACATGTTTCCTTGATTGACCAATCATAACACAGCAGAAATATAATCTACAAGAAACTAACAGGAGATGAGAATCAAATACAATCCAAGGTATAAATATAAAAATCGCTAGATCAGGATCTCTAAATTATGGTGCAACTATCTCATGATCAGAATCTCTAAATTATGGTACAACTGTCTCATGATCAGAATCTCTGATATGTCCAAGGTATGAACTTAAAAATCTCTAGATGTGAATCTCTAAATTATGGTAAAACTGTCTCATTATCAGAATTTCTAAATTATGGTGCAACTGCCTTATTATTAGAATCTCTTAAGTATGATACATCTGTTTTGTGGTCAGAATCTCTAAATTATGGTACAACTGTCTCATGATCAGACTCTCTATGTGGTGCATGGTATATTAGAGAGAAGTTGTGGAAGAATTTTCTCATGATCAATATCCCATGAACAGAATCTCTAAATTACGATAGACTGTCACGTGGTGGTCACTACTTGTGGTAGAAATGTCTGGAGGTCAGAGCCCCAAAATTACGGCTCAACTGACTCCTCGGCAGAATCTCTAAATTATACTGTCTCGTCAGAATTTCTGAATTATGGTAGAAATGTCCTCCGGTTAGGACCTCTAAATCATAGTCCAAGGCATATCTTGTTGTGATACAGTCCTCTCCCAGTCAGAATCTTTAGATTGTCCAAGATGTATCTGCCTGTGGCAGAAACATCTCCACTGCTCTATCTGAAGCAAAATCAAATCACAACCCATATACAACTAGTGTCTTTCTAACAGGATGCTTTTTTTTTGTATTACTTTACTAATAATCATACCTTAAAATGAGCGAGGAGATCATTCATGTCGAATGTGAGGTACTGACAACATTTACACTTGTGGACATCATCAGTATGTGATGCTATGTGCGTCTGGTACTGTTGAAGATAGTATGCCTGGAAATCACATTTGGGGCACTTCATCTTTTCAAGATCACTCTCTGATGCCTTTAGACCTGGAAACATAGAAAGCAATATTAAAATATTTACATTTCATTTATCCTGTTTGGCTGGGGAACTTACTGGCCAACTCTAGAATCATACAATTAAATGCCAACACAAAATACAAATATTCTTTTTAAAAGAGATATGCCAACTTTATGACAAGAAATTTGTGTTAACATCTAAATATAAGCATAGATAAGACATATTTATTGATTTTAGTTAATTTCAATGTAAAGATAGATAAGTTTGTTGAGTTAAAACAATGAAATATCAGAATGTTTAAATACCCACAGCTTCTTTGACACTCCAACAAAGAATCTGACATATCACAATGCTCGGCCAAAGTTTCTAACAATTTTTTTTTTTAAAACTATAGACTGGATCAAACAAATTAAGGAACTGATATACCACATTGGGAAAACCTTAACACTTTGGATGTCAGCCATCTAGAATCAATAGAATGTATATCTAGGATCAAATTTCAATGATTTTTAGACATTCCCAAAATACCTGGCAAAATTTCGGCTGTTTCAAAAAATGGCTTCATCAACACCTAGATCCCCGTTCTACAAGAACGTAATAAAAATGTTACAATCCTACACTGGTTTAATAGTTTGGACTCAACCAGTGAGTTATACAATGACTCAGACCAGAGACATCTCCAAAGCTTTACTGACCAGAGAGACTGACCAACTTGTCACCAGGTAAGAAGAAAAATTTGTCATTTTTTTCATAAATCACACATCAAATGGAAACAAATTTTAGATTCTTTTTATCACATAATCAATGGTTTTATTTTTACATGACTGAAGATCTCCCAGGTCTATATCTATTGTCTCCACTATAACACAGATGTGTGGCATCATTTCGTTATATAATCCTGATTTTACAATAGGTTGTTACAGGAGCTAATACGCAAAAATGTTACATGGGTATTTTTACTGAATAAAACAGCAACCATGCTATAGATATAGATACATTGACCCTCTGGTGAGTTGAACGTAAAAGTGCTGTGTCAGCATAGTTTTGTTCATTTGCAATGACAGCAAGGATGCATAGAGTGACAAGCTTGGCAATGAAGAGACCATACTTATAACACACAAAAAAGCTACGACACAGCTGCATCATGCCAAATCATATAGGGCAATATCACAGAGAAAATGGACAAAAAACGCCAGTTTCACTTGTACATGAAATCTGCATCTCAGCCCTCCATTTATCAGTGTATGATCCCGAGTCGCAGCTTATCTTAATAGCGACTTATCACATTCATACAGTATTTCAACTCTTTCATCTGGAAAACTTGACATTTTTCTTTGATAAAAACTTGATATTTCCAGGCAAATGTCGCTGTTTAAGCTAATTAGGTTTAACTTAAATCAAAACCCATTATAGAGATGAAGATCAACGGATGTACACACACATATATATAATATCACAGCTCTAAGTAGCAAACAGTCTACACACAATGACTGATATGTTGGTGCATGGAGCCATTTTCAGTAACAATATAATTAGGTATTATGGCCACCGGAAGTAATATCAAAAATGGAGCACGAACTATAAAACTAAGTTAACCTTTTGAACACATGAGAAAATCAGGACAAAAAATTAAATAGCATGTGGGATCGTAAATCTGTACCTGTTGGCTCTGATATCTGTAGGTATGACAATGATCTTTATGTCTCAAACATAAGCTTCTGTTTCTTTCAACATCAGCCATGACAACTTTTTAAATCATTTACCATGAGACAAGTTAGAGATTGTTTATACGATCTAAATCTATTGAAATATCAAAGTATGGAATACTGACCTACATCTTGTAGCAGACCAAGGTGGCCAACAAATTATATAAAGCTCAAAGTCAGAATTCATACAGGACATGAAAAAAAATACTTCTTGGTAATGCTTTGTGAACAGCTATATATTTAGTTTGGTCGGCTCATCACCAGATATTACTTCCTGATAAATACAGTACACATCTATATAATAACAGCAACATGTGTAAGTTTTTACCTACAGATTTTTGAAAAGCTATCAATAACTTGTACAAATGGTACAAAAATTCCATAACATTGTTGATAAACATGTAGTTACACTGTTGATAAACATATAGTAACATTGTTGATATACATGTAGTAACATTGTTGATATACATGTAGTAACATTGTTGATATACATGTACATGTAGTAACACTGTTGATATGCATGTAGTAACACTGTTGATATACATCTAGTAACACTGTTGATATACATGTAGTAACACTATTGATATACATGTTGTAACATTGTTGATATACATGAGTAACATTTCAGTAACTTTATAGAAAACCATATTTTTTTTTGTTATTGAAAAATTGAAGTGTTTGAAAAACCTGCCCATTTTTAATAAAGAACTATTAGTATCATTTTTGTACAACTTATTATTTGTGTGTAATATATTAAGATTGTGTTTAAGTCCTCTACAACCCATCTGAGAGGATACATGGTGACCCCAATCTTTTTCCTTTATGGTCTTGTATCCAATTAAATTGCATTCCCCTCCCCCAATTTTGTAAGCACCTAAACCATGAAGTCAACTTGAGTGTGAGAGTTGAGGTGATAATTGAAAGTCAGTAGAGGAAGAATTTGATAACTCGATCGACATGCATGAGAATTACACAATAACTCAAGCAAGAGAAAATTATTCAGGATGAAATGATTTAGATGATTAAGATCAAAATTAACTTAAATCTTCAAAAAAAAGGACACATAAATTTCACTAAATTATACTATATAAAATTTTGCATAATTTAAAGAGGAAATATACTGCAACAAAAAAGCATACCCTTGCATACTATCTCATACACGTATATAAATTCTTATTTCAATTTTTAAAATTTCAATACAATGTTCTACTATCTTTTGAATCATCAAATCAGAAAATAAATTGTGTTGAAAGGATTGTTAGAGACAGAGGCAATAAAGCTACGACTGTATATATACAAGACTTTATCTCCTGGTGGATGTAGTGACATACCATTTGTAGTGTGATTATGTTTGATCATGATCGTGAAACAGTTTCCCAGGAATGTTAACGAGGAATCTGCAAGAGGATATATGCCTAACTGCTTATTCTGGTAATATCTGTCCAATTTTAAACTATCCTTCATGGTAATCGTCCGAAACACTTGCATGAGTCAGCAGTCTTGTATGAAAATTTATTCTCAAAAACATTAAACACTATGTCAATAATCAGTCCCTTACTGTATTTCCCACCCTCAATAAAAATTTATAGCTTTGTACACAATATCCAGGGGAATTTAATTAGTGTTTCATTCAATTACACAATGTACTAGTTGAGTGGCATTCCAGTCTCTAATGATCTGTTCAGCTATATTTATCAATCTCGGGCGTAACTAGACAGATCCTCAGTAAAAGTGAGAGCTTGGTACAAATGCCTAAAGAAAAAATTTCATCATATAAAATGGAGTTGTAGTCTTTCAAAATATAAATAATTTTGATTCACAGTCATTTCATCTACCTTATTACAAATAGAACATATATTGGTATATATATATATGTAAATGTACACACATTTCTATTGATTTGATTTTAATTTCAAACAGCAGATGAAAATTTATATTTCTTTCTAAATATAAAAATTACTCTTCACAGAACCGGTTCCTACTAGATTATTATCGTGAGGAAAGTGTACGAGATTGAAAGGAAATGCTCATTGTTCTCGTTTTCTTTTTACAAATGAAAACCACAAATATCTATGATTGCTTTTCTGTAGTGATTTAACATTTAAACTCCCTTTTGAAAGTAATTTTTTAACTAAACTGTCATTTACCAATATATAAGGTAAGGTAATTGTGAAATTGTTGGATCATCTTCTGTCAGATAATTAGTAACAGGGAGTGTCAAAATTAATCACATACATAACAAGCATACTGAGTATAGTTAGGCAATACCTGTCTCATATCAACCCCTACAAGCTGTTACACTATGTAAATGTGTGAGGTTTAATGTGAAGCCATTACAATGCTGACAACGATTTCCTTAATAGTGACCTTCATTTTGATCAAACAACCATGAAATACAAATTTGTCCAAAACATTTTAATGCTTTATAAACAGATTTGAGGAAAATGTTTCTATGAATGAAGTTGCTAAGGTGCGGACAATGATTTTCTAAAAATAGTAAGTGACCTTGACTGAACAACCCTGAAACTTGACCTTGTGCAACATATTATGTGTGTGAGATTTCATCTAAAAAACCCCTGAGAATGAAGCCATTTGAGCTCTGACAAACTTGGGTGTATGGTATGTTGAAACTATGTATGTGTTAGTAAATGAAACCTTTATGTTAATATGTATATCTTAAATACACCAGTTCTATATAAACCGTGTGATTTACATTAAATAGTGTGTTCCATATTGTACATTCACTTGATCAGACTCCTGATTTTATGATTCATTAACTGGGTCAGATTAAAAAAAAACCTGACACCTGTCTATTCTGACAACCTGTAATATATGCTATTTTATGTTTCTGTGTATTTTAGCCTGATTACAAGACAGAACCTCTAAATGAATAATGTAGCATTACAGGGATGTGACACGTGAAATCTTGTCCAATGTGAGATAGCTGAATTAAATACATATACAAGTATGAACTTCTGTATATAGTCTCTGAGCCAAGCCCTGTGATGATTTCAGCATTTTTTAAGGAAAACAAAGTGATGGTTGAGCAGGGAGCCAGATGGCTGCTGTAACTCTACATTCCTCAACAGAACTGATTTGACCTGCCCACAAAACCACTACAGTCTGTTTCATTTATGTGCCCAAGGAATTTGGTAAAAATAACTATGTTGCATATCAACAGTTTGTTTAAAATATTTCACACTGCCTTTATGCGAATTTAATCAAATTATCATAATGAATTATAGATCATCAATTCAATATCGAATCATGATATCTGACATCAAATTGATAGAAGTGAAACTATCAAAGTTAAGTTTTCTCAG